GGTTGATGTGGAGTAATTCAGTATCGTAAATCGATGGTGAAAGTGCAGAAGTGCGTATCTCGATTTTTGACAGTCTTGAGTTACCTAGCTTCATCAACGTGTTGTTGAAGATGCGTTGTCTATCTGCCAGCAAGAGCGATGGTAATCGAAAAAAAACGGGAAGTCATCTAAAACCGTAGATCTCTTTTCGCGTATCTCCGGCTTAAGTGCAGAAATGCGTTTCTCGTTCTGGCCCCTTCATTTGATCCGGCGTGCTTTATGCACAATGCACCTTCCTCGACAGCGTTTTCCGTCATAAGAATGAATGGGAAATATAAAGCGCCAGTGACGTCAGCGGCAACGACGATCGGGAAGGCGGTCTGTAACTAATAAGCCCTGTCCACAAGGCTCTAGATACATGCCCACGGCTCATGGGTGCCGCACTTAATTGGCTTACAGTTCCGTTTGCTGAATTGGAGAAGCGGGATTTCACGTTCTGACAAATGGAACTATGCGCACAGTGTATGAGCCATGGGCATGTATCTAGAGCCTTGTGGACAGGGTTCATGAATTATAGCTGAAGCCCCGCAACTGGAGCGGCGGATTCGGCACTGGCGCTACATTTTCCCCATTCATTCTTACGGCCCGAGCACGAACAAGCACACCCCATCTTTCCCTCTGCACATAGTTCTGTCTGATGGAAATAAGTACGTCCGATTGAGGATGAAATCGGACTTTTGACTCATCCTACATTTCGACTCCGTGTCCTACTTACTTAAAAACATAAAAAAGTAGCCTCTACTGTCAATATAATGATGGGAGAAAAATCATGAAGTTGAAATTTTGACATTTCTTTTCGAACTCTTGCTCAGTTACCCGACCTCATCTTATCTCCGAAATCAGACAAATACTCAAGCTATAATTTTTACTGGCGAGGCTTGTCTCATCAGGTTTCATCTAGGCCTCATACGAATCAAATCCCGGGTTCCCGAATAGGGGCCGAAAAGGCTCATTCTTTTGGAGGCTCCTTCATTTTACATCTCTAGGGTGGACCTTTCTAGAGGCGTTTCTGTAAAAACGAACTAATGATTCACCCCTCTGACATCTAATAATCTTACACGCATCGACTAAGTGTCCTGGGCTGTTTTCTGGCCGCGGCCACACCGCGATAAAAATCTGTGAGGGCATTCCAGTCGTAGAATTATAAAAATCAAAGTGGTTCTACCCGAAATAGATAAAAAAATGCTATAGTAGGGCCCACGAAGGATGATCCCTGAAAAATCGGGCGAATAAACTCATAGGCTTTTATTGTGGCTCGGCTCGGCATTGTCGCTCGAGCTTGAGGGTCGGTCCCGGTGGCCGGGGGTGTCGCTGTTGCCTGTGTTTCCAAGAAATACCCGCGGCTCAGGGATCATCCTTCGTGGGCCCTACTATCAGTATCTGTTAGGGATGTGTTTTGCCATAGGTATAAGTAATGGTCAGCGCTCTATTAGACTTAGAAACATTGGCGGATTCCGCAAATTGGCAACATTGCCTCTCCTCCATTTAAACATATGGAAATGTATAGATTCTTGGAGGGGCCAGGTGCTCAGACAAGAATCGATTACTACCTAGCATAGCTTTACGTGGAGAAAATCCGGTGTTGCCAATTTGCTTGATCCGCCTCTGCTTAGAAATGCGAACCCTTGAAAAATGGTACCTAAATATCTACGGTGAAACTACCAGACCACGTACACGAATCTCCGTCTGCGACGTTGTAGACTTTCTGTCATTTTTTATTTTTCAAAAGGAAAACTACTCAACTCTTGAAAACTTTGGTGATTTTTCCTCTGTATGCAAGTGAAGAAAACTCTGTGAAAATTGCGAGAAATGATATTAATTCATTCACCTTCAAAAAAAGAATGGAAGCGAAGATTTTTAAACGCCGCAGACGAGATAAGTGGCCTGGTAGTTACACCGTCGATGTGTACCTACTTATTACCCCAATAGGAAAAAAATGAGACGATACAATTATTCCTTCCCAAAGCTGAAACCAGAAATAGCTGGGGAAAATGCTTTCTAAAAATAAAAACGTCTCTCTCTAAGATTCCAGGTTCTCCCCGTCCCTTTCTTTCCCCGGTCTTATTTCGTCTGGGCCGTAGACAATCGTTCTGCATTTGACAGGCAGAAATTAGGTAACAATTGTAAAACCCAGTTGTGTAAGACCTTTAGACGCAATCATCAGTACGGAAAAACTGCCGTGCGGGCAACGAGAACGAGACGGCACTTCCATTTATTCCTTGATTTTTTTTTTTCATACGAATTAAACGCTTTTATCACAACACGTTGTACTCGACGTGACTTCGAATTTGCTCTCAGTCGGTCCTTGGTGTCCCTTCATAGTGTGCGAGAATCCTCTCTCATTGAAAGAGTTTGGCCCCGTTTTGCTCTAATTCAAAAGTGTCAAAAGATAGAACAAATTCAATTCCATCCCCATATGAAGTAGGTATGCTTTCAGCTGTGGTTAGAGGAGAAAAATACCATCAGTAAACAAACATCGAGATTTCAAATAGATTCCACCTACATACTGCGATTATGTATAAATGTTTGTCAAAATGAAACGTTTATGCGCCTAAAAGCACATGTTAGCTATCTTCTATCTAAGAATTTCTTACGGAGACCCTAACCTAAAGCTAAAAGTAATGAATCGCAAAAAATGCATGTTTTCATGAATTGAATGGTTCCATGTATTGAATGGTTCCATGTTTCCATTGGACATGGCATAAGAGAGGTACTGACATTTCTTTTCATGTATCTTTTGAACAATTACCTACCTACGCCTACAAATACATATCGACCAGTCAATCGCTGTGAATCTCTCTTGGAAACCCAAAATTAATACTGAAAGTGTCTGAACGAAAAAAGTCGCATTTGCTCAATTGTATCCAACGGTCAAATTTCATTTTCAGGTAGGTATACTTTTTGCAATATCTGTCAAGTTGGTAGCATGTATCCGGGGAGATTTGCCCTAGTAGGTCGTCAAGCCTCGGTTAGGCTCTTGTTGTGCTTAGTATTGAAATTTAATGAGCTCTCAATGTCGGCCTTGGCTTCTTCTGTTGGTTAGATTGGACAAATGAAGGGGAAAAAAGAAATGTATAAATTACAATTAAATATAATTGACCTCAATATTTAATAAGCAATTCAATTATATAACGGCGAAAAAATTGGGAGAAATTACAAAAAATTCGCCTCTTGCAAAGGGCTTCCTTGTAAGAATTTTGACCCGAAGACAAGGGTTGAATAGCAGCAGTACCTCCATACAATACACGGTGTGCCTGAACGAACATTTTTGTTGTTGTCAAAATCGAAAATTCTTTATATTTTTTAACTACAATGTCTCTTGAGTCGTTAAAGCCAAAAAAAAAAATCCGTCAAGATTCTGGAAAGCAAAGGCGCTTTAAAAGTATTCTGGGGCTATAATAGCTAAATCACTGGTAGTAAATCCCATTATATTATTAAAAAGAAATTGACTCCATAGTTTAATGCCTTAGTTTCTTGAATCGATTATTTTAAGCACTCAAACATTTATACCACCAATTTTAGCCATGGGGTGATTTCCTGAGAGCCGATAATATCACGAATTTCTCATACCTAGAACCTTTCAAAAATAGCTTGCTTTTTGTGCAGCCGATTCGGTCATCGAACCGGGATTTAAATGGAAGGTGATAATAACACAAAGCTCTGAGAAAAATTTTGAGATGAGTATAGGAACGGTTTGTAAATTACGAGGAGAGGCAGGCAAGGCGGCTAAAATTCGATATAATTTTTGCCGTTATTCTGTTGAATTGACGTTGCCGCGGACTGCTAACTGTGTCCACACATGGTTTCTGTTCAGCATATCGATACGTAAGTATTTTTACACGTAGAATCTAATTTTTACGTCAGGGAGTCGACACATTTCGATTTTTTTGATTTTATAATGAAAATTGATGGTTTTTCGAGATTGAAATTGTTATTGTTTCATGGAAAATAAATGCACCCAAAATGACTATTTCAAATCGATTTCTACATATTTGCACTCACGAAATTGGTTGGTAAATTCAACGAGTGGGTGCATCGACCTGGTATATCAAGTCTTTGCAATTCTTTACGGCAAATCGGTAGATTTTCGGGATGTAGATATCTTACTTTCAATTCATGAGTGAATAAAGCATGGACATGGTTGAACTTCTTTGCATGGAAATACGTTTAAAATACCTAACAAAATCAAGACATATTTAAAGCAATTGCATTCATATCGAGTCAATTTCTTTTCAATAATATAACGGGATTTATAATACCTGCGATTTGGGTATTTTAACCCCAAAATACCTTTAAATCGACTTTATCTTTCAGGAGTTCAACAGAATTTTTCCTTTCTTTGCTTAAATTATTACGTAGCACTTTTCTTTAAGAATCTGATTTAATTTTGCTTGGGGCAGATCAAAAAACTTAAACTCGTTCGAATGGCTTTCTACATTCACAATACACGGTCTCGTCCAAGTGCGTCGTTGACCTCGCAGTGTTGGATCGTATGGATTCTTTTGTTGTGCTACTTGCCTATTTTGAAATCTCTGCAAATGAAAACTAAAGGGGTTGATATATGCGAGTTACGCGCGATATACGCGCCTTATCAATACATTGTGTTGGAGTTCACTGCTTGTTTTCACTTCATCTTCTTTCTCTTTTAATCTTTGTCGCCATCTTTTTTATGTCTTCCTCTTCATTTTCTTTTTTCGACTTCTTCCTCTTTCCTCTGTCTACTTCTTCTGCCTTCTCACTTATTCTTCTCCTTTCATTTAATATTTTTCTCCCTCTTTCTCTTTCCTTCTTCTTCTTTCGTATTTAATTGTTTTTCCCCAGAGAAGATTTTCATCGCACTGTGTCACCTGAGTGGTGATATCGTAGATATTTTCGAACGCCAACAGCAATTCCTACTCTTTGAAATATTGCATTAAAATTAAGAAATTCAATCATTCAATTCACAATTTTTTTTTTTGCAGAGGCCCTCTAAATCTGGTGAAAAGTGGAAACCATTGCACACCTCAAATCCTGCCGCGCGGATACAAGGCATTCATAAAGTGCCATCATGGCCGGTTAGTACTTTATGCAAACCTGTCTTTTTTCCAAAGGACCCCGCACACCTCTTATGGGAAGCTGCACCACGACCGATTGCCTTCTGATTTATGTATTTCGATTCTCCTCAAGAAGGTGTTCAAAAGTTATAATTGCGCCAACTTTCTACGATGCACCGTTTTCGCAAAAAATCAAGGAGAAGATTCAATTATTCGGTGATAAGAAGCTAGAAAGATGTACCTCATTTCAGTGCTCGATTGACAAGCGCCTATGTGTCAACAAGGAAATCATGGGGACTCCCGCACCGAGCGGCAGTCTTATCTCGAATTCCGTACGCCGTTTTGCTCGACCATCCAAATCAGATTCTTGAGGAGCATAAGAACAGGAAAGTCTGAACGTCTACCGGGCGAGTGCGGGAGGGAGATAGCCCCTGAGTCGGCAGGTACAGATACGAAGACGGACACGCGCTACGTTTTTTCCTTATTTACATCGGGCCTGTCCTCAAATGCTTTGTTCTTTTTTATTCATATTCACCGAATAATTGAATCTTTGCTTTGATTTTTTGTGAAAACGGTGCATCGTAGAAAGTTGGCGCAATTATAACTTTTGATCAGCTTTTTGAGGAGAATCGAAATACATAAGTCAGAAGGCAATCGGTCGTGGTGCAGCATCCCATAAGAGGTGTGCGGGGTCCTTTCTTTCAAAAATAACTTTTGATCTGACTCTGAGTAAAAAATAAAAATAAAAAAAAAATGATATTGATACTATAATATTGCTGACGCATACATTTTTGGAAGAAATTTTTTATCTAAAATATGCAGATTGTGATATTGAAGGTATGAAGATGGTAATCCGATGCCATCATCAACACGTATCCTTGTGATATCATCAATGGGGTCCCAATGACGTCTCAAGCCGGAATTACCCGAATAAATTCCATGGACAGCAGGTAATTGTCGTGGCGGGGGTAGATCATTAGGTGTCTAGATGGCATTATCAACGGCGACCCTAGTACCCCGGTGGCGTCATCAACGAGTGTCCCCATGACGTTAACAACGGGTATCACTAGTATGAAAATAGGAATTTTAGAATTCAGGACTATAGTAAAATTGTGCAGAAAAATATGACTAAAATTACAGTGTTTTACGGCGGGTATTTGACCATGTTGCAACGCTGTAAAACGTATTGTATGCTGCCCCATCATTTTTTCGGGATTTGCATATTGAGTATTACACGCGTTGCCTCTCTAATCTGCGGATTATGCAATAGTGTATGTCGCCTCTTCAATTTGCAGGTTATGTAACAGCGTTGCCAGTGAATTAATTATTAGTGACGTTTGACAGCTTTGATTTATACAGTGTTACCAGATGGCGCGAGAAATTAAATAAGTTTAATGAACAGTTTCGCCAGATTGTGCAACAATTTGGAATTTCGGACATGTAAAATTTCGGAAACATTAGACCGTATCTTCCAGGATGGGTCTGGTATCGGAAGCTGGAGAGTAGGGTCTGATTAGGGGATTTTAATTTTTAGTGGTGGGGCGGTTTATTAGAGCGCTTGGAGATGTGTATCAGAACCATGAACTTTGGCATTGGGTGCTTTGGAATAAGCAGGTGGGTTTGATATTGGAATATACAGTTTGTTGCAATCAAATTAAATTGTTTATTTTGAACCGTTTACGTTAAAATTGTTTCATTAGGTATTCTTCTTCAACGCTCCGTCGATGACCGTCTCGATCATTTTCGCTACCGGTGTGATGGATCGCGCGGCTAGACCGATACTCGTCAGGAGTTCTTAACTACGGCACCTGTCCTCGGGATAGTCAAGATTCGCTCGATCGATCGCTTCGTCGGTTTTTTCTTCTTCGGTTATGGTTTTTTCGCTGCCGCCGATTTGTTCAGACCAATTCCGAGTTTGGTTTTGAGTTTCATAGCGTTCGTCACGCGGTATGCTGCCGCTTTTTCACCCAACGATGATTCGGAAGCTTTCATGCGTTCCCAAGCTCTGTCCGCAAGTATGAGATCTGCTTTGTTCCTCTCGGTAGTATCTTGGGTCTTGCGTAAGCGATATCGTGAGACTTGCAAGCTTTGTCCGGCGCATTTCTACCCGGATCGCCGCGTTTCAGTCGTTATGCGAGACAAGTGCCCGGTCCGCAGTACCTGTAGTCGCCCGGCAAGTCTAGTTCAAACGGTACTGAATTTATCACTGTGTTCAACAATCCACGTCCTCGATTGGCTTTGCAACGCATCACAAATCTTCCCTGTAACATTCTCTGACGAAAATATGCATACTATTTATGCGGAGAAATAGAAAATGACTGTCCGATAAAATAGGGAACCAATACGATGACACTCGTCAAGCAAAGAAAGTCACTTCGAGTCCCAAACCTCAACAAACGGAAGAAGCAAAGTGAAAACCGACGACGACGACGACACAGTGAACTGTTACCGGACAGCATCAGTTGCATTGTTGTCAGACCGTCCAACTGCGGTAAAACAAACGTGATGGTTTGCTTGCTACAATATCCGAACGGATTGAAGTTTCGCAACGCGTACCTGTACTCTGAGACACCGTTCTAAGCCAAGTACGAAGAACTTCGTTGGATATTCGACGGAATCGACGGTCTCGGATACAACGTCTGTTCGGACACGGCCGAAATTGTTCCACCGAACGATGCCGCATCGGATTAGGTGTTTATTTTCGATGATTTCACCTTTGACAAAAAAAAAATGCGACGCGGGATTATTTCAGTATGGGAAGGCACAGCTCGCTCGACAGTTTCTATTTTTGTCAAGCTTATTCTTGCATACCGAAACAATTGATTCGCTATAACGCTAACCTACTCGTAGTTTTCAAGCAGGACAATACAAACTTGCGACACATCTACGACGATTATGTCAACACCGATTCTTCGTTCGAAGATTTCAGATACATATGCTCGTTGTGCGAGGTAAAAGTACGTGTTTTTAGTCATCGATAAAGATAGTGATAAGAAGGACGGAAGGTACCGGAAAGGTTTCGATACCTACTTCATTGAACAAGATGAATAATTTATCGTTGTTCACGATCGCTGAGAAATACGGTAGTATCGAGAAAATCCGCCAGGTTATAAAACGGAAGTTTAACGCCGTACGCGCCAGGGAGGCAAACGCTCAGGTGCCATTGAAGAAAGTTTTCAAACCATTGATAGATCGACTCGCAGAATTGGAGAGAACTGTGTTGACACCTTCCACACTGGTCGCTGCCGCTGCTCCTCAGGAAAAGAAAATCAATACCAAAACGTTACTGATCGAACCTTCAACATCAAAAGCGAAAGATAATAAAATGCTCGTTGATAGTTTATTTTCTTCGTTCGGACAGGGACCAGTTCTATAGGACCCTGGACTCCCGTAAGAGCCAATGTAAACATTCGTGAGCAGGTACTAGTGCTGTTATCTCGCGTAGGACCCTCGCAACTCACTGCTGTTATCAGTTGTTGGACTCCATTAAAATCCATAGGATCGCGCATAACTGCAAATAATCGAATTTTTCACTCTATATAATTGAGCGTCGAGCCCTTCCTTCTCGAAAGGGGTCGAACAACGCCAAAAATATACCAATTTTTCAAGAATTCAGCCACCTTATGTGTTATTTTTCAATCTTCGGCTTAACCTCACTTTTGGAGCGGGCGATGGATGAGTCGAGGTTCGGGGGGAAGGATCCATTGAGTTGATTAGGGTCCTACGCGAGAATGCGCTGCAATCACCCGCTCACAACAGAACGGCGTCCTATTGAACTCTTCCCTGGTTCGGATCACCAAAACATATTACCGATGATGACGACTCACGGGAGGATGATGATGATAAAGACGATGAATCGTTCCAAGATGCAAAGGATAAAGAACAAACGACGCGTCGCACTGAGGACGAGGATTCTCGAGACACAATAAAGTTGACCACTGCCCCGCACGTATAGTCCTGCTTGGAGAAACTTCTGAGAGAGTCCGATACCGCGTATGGTGTGCGGGAAGCAATCGACGGAAACTTGTTGATCGGAAACCGTATCATTCGCTTCGATTCAGACGGACGATTCATCCTGGACGGTTACGACGACGACGAAGAGGTGTTCGAACCGACACTCGGGTTCTTAGAGCTACTTTTTAAAGAAATATTCGAGTAATTACACAGAAGATGATCGCGCAAAATTCCAACGAGTTGTTATGCTCACCGATTCGCATCGATGGGATCATCATCAACACGGAAGACCCAAAGCGAACCGCAGTCTTAATTACCGCGATCACATCAAAAGTTTGTTCGCTACATCGACTCCGATATCAGCGAGGAAACGCGGTAAGAAATTAAAGAAAGGCTCTGGTGTTGAAATTCATCGTGCGAAACGGGAACTCATCTATTGGGACGATCCGAACGAATAAGTCCAACGTTCTGTTATACTTGTAGCTTCGAAACAAGCTGCTCACACCGATCACGATCGTGAAATTCTGAGTACCATGAATGAGCTCGGCGAAGCGGCTTACATCAACTAAATATAGGTTAAGCACACAAAATGAGTCACACCGACCGATTTGAAAGATCGAAAGGTGTTTACGTTCGCAACTCGAAGCAAGGTCCCAAAGGTGACGGTTACATAATGGATTCGGACGGAAATTATCTCGTATCGAACAAACGGATCCGTCAACTGCAAGATCCCGAAGAGGATACCGACGCCGTGAACGAACAATAGACGGAATCGAGTTGGACGGAAGCTTTGAATTTAGCACAGCTTTCTTTGGAGAAAATTGAAAAGTTAACAATATCTTGCAACGACTTGAGACGAAATTATCACTATTGGAAAATAGGATCAAACAATTAGAGGTTCCAATACCGGTTATGAATCGAGCGAAGGGAAAATAGTGTTACGATGAGTCACACCGACGGTTTTGGTCGATCGAAAATCCGCCTCTGCCTGACTGGTGACGGTTTCTTAATGGCTTCTGATGGTACTTATTTCGTATCGAACCAACAGATTTGTCAAGTGCATGAATCCGGAAGCGATGAAGATGCGGTGTGCAAACAATGGTTAGAAATCAAGTGGAAGGAAACCATGAAATTAGGTCGACACTGCCTGGAGCGTATCCACCAACTTCAGCAATCTTATTATCGCCTGACTAGTGCCATCGAAACAGCATTTGAATCGAGAGAGTGGACGACGACGATGACGGTCAGCGTCAATCCGACCGTCCCAATCACGTGCGATCTGAAATGCGCACACGATACGATCATCAAAGGAAAATTCTACCGCGAAGAAATCCACCACCCCAACTGTAAGGATACGTTCCTCGTTGAGAAAGCTCTGCTTCGCAAGAAAAACCTGGCCTTCGTCAAATGGTTGGGTCTGGACGCGAGTCACAACGGTCGGATCGATAGTAAGGATTTCGTATAAATAGTAGTCATTCTCGTCTCAGTGACGCAAGCAAGAAATCGAACGATAAAATAATTCTCATCACCGCCGTCGTCGTCGTTGGAGTGAATTTCACTGCGGTCGAAAACTCATCCGAAACAAACATTACAATGTGCCCGATCTATTCGGAAATCAAATGCGAACCCTCCACTTTGACGGATGTTCTTCCATTCATCTTAAGTTGTCCGGCGCTCATTTGCTCCGTTCCGTACCTGTTCTTTAAGTACGTATCGTTCGACTGCAAGTTCCGTTTCACCAGGATGTCCCACGAGAAAAAAAATCGGAAAGTCGACGATATAAGTTTCGAAGGGATCGATATTTGTGGTTGACAACACTAACGCTTTATAACGCTGACGTTTTTAACGTGGACGTTTTTAAATATGGACGTTTTTAAACATGACCATCTGTTATACGTGGCCGTTTTTAAACGGTAGCAATAACTTTCCGGAGGTTTTTTTTTTTTGATTCATCAAACTGAAAATTGCAATTTCCAAACTCAATACCTTATTCCAAAGTACCCGATACCAAAGTCTAGAGATCTGATACACACCTCCAAGCGCTCTGATACGCTCCCAACCACTCGTAATTATGAAATTCCTGAATCAGACTCTATTCTCCAGTTTCCAATAGCAGACACATCCCGGAGGAAATGGTCTACTGTTGCCGAAATAACCCACGTCCGAAATTCAATAACTTTTTGCACAATCTAACAACAGCGTAAGGAAATGTTTTATTTTCTAGCACCACCCGACAACAATGTAAAATTAGATGTTGCCAGGTTTCACCAATAAATAAATCATTTATTTATCTGCGCCGTTTGGCAACACTATTGCATTGCCTACACGTTGAAGGGGAAACATGCAGGATTGGTTAACCAACAAATTGAAGGGGCAACATACACCAATACATTACCCGTAGATTGAAACGGCAACATGCAATACTCAATATCCGTAACTCGAAAAATGAAGGGGTAACATACAATACTTTTTGCAGCGTTGCCACATTGTCAAATACAACACTTTAATTTATTTCATATTTTTCTGCACAATTTTGCTATACAATTTTGTTTTTAAATTCCAATTTTCATACTCCTGGTATCCCTGAGACGTCATCGATGGGTGCTCCGGGAGCAACAGATGGTTAAGGTTGCTAGGAGGAGGGGGGATCAATTGGTGTCTAGATAATGTTAGCAACGGGTGTATCAGAGTGCGTCATCAACGAGTTCGTCGATTAAGCCATCGCAGACCGTTCATAAAATACGTACCTATCGATCAAGATGGAGCGGTGGGGTCCTGAGGAGTGCCTTACGCCAGTTTGGTTTTACTTCTTAAGTGACAGAAATCTACGTCACAAAAGCCTTACATGGGGATTGAAGGTGTCGAAGAACCAGCAATCAAGCGTTACGTATCTTATGAATGGCCCCTTAGTTAGAAATACCCGAGACTTACCTGTCATTTTCACCTTAATACAAGTTATGACTTGAAATTGACTCTGCAGCGTTCTTGAGGATAATAGGATGTAATGAAGTAGTGTATCAAACAGGAGATGGTTAATTGTGATTGGAACCCGAATGGTGCCTGAATTTTTCTGTCATTTGTTTTTTTAGGCCAAAGAAAACTCAAGCAAGCTAACAATGCGACCTGCTCACTTGGAGTCTCCTCCCTTTGACCCTGACTATGAAGTGATTGAATTTCCTCCTACTCAACAGTATACAAATGCTCCTTTCAGTAAGTAGTAACGAAAAGTAACGTCTTATTCGAATTTTTTGGGTTACATTTTTTTCTGGCACCAAATATTATAAGAATCCGTCAATAAGTATACAAATTACAGACTCAGAGGCCTGCGATAGTTTAAGAGATTGAATGTAGGGGCCCTTACATATCAAGTCTGGCTGGTCTAGTGGTAAAGTACTAGACTTCGGATTTCACCTCCATCCCGAGGTGCGGGTTCTACTCCCGACTATGACGGCGCGGGTTCTCGATGTAAGTAACAATTCTTCGATTTTCCTCCTGGTCTACTATCGCAGATGCACATTCGAAAGAAAGTTAGTACTTGCCAATAACGTCTCCTAGAGCGCGCGCACAAGGTTATGTTTTGCTATTGCGAAAATCGCAAAATGAGATTGCAAACTTATCAACAATTTTGCAAAATCAGCACTTTTATTCGGCGATTTTCACATTGCTAATAAGTATGTGGATGAACTAGCAATTTCATATTGCGAAGATCGCTCCTTTTTTTCGCTTTTTTAGCAGAAATTAGTTTGGCTGTTTTACCACCCACATTGCAAGTCCCGTTTTTAGCAATATGAATTTTCTATTTTACCTACCCTTGTGGGTATTACAGCGATGTTTTGTTTCCGTGTACCACTGCGGAAAGTGACATCTTTACTATGTTTTCCAATGGGAATATGTGTCGAATTGTGGATGTGAAAATTTTATGGGTAAATATGTTATATGTTATCTCATTAATATAAACTTCGAAGGATTCCGACTTTCAGCGATTCTACCTTTTTCTATTTCACTCAAGAGGTTGCCAGATTGTGCGATAAATAGGAATATTTGACATGGATTTGAATTGAGAAAAGTGCTAAAAAAGCAACTTATCTGGCAACAATAGAGTCCGGGAGGGACGAGAGGCTGCCTGCCTGGGAAAACCCATGATTTAGCCAAAATGTCATTAAAACAATTGATTCCGTTTGAAGCATCAATTGTATACTAGGGGAAAGCTATTTTAAAATAATAATTGTAAATGGACACAGATATTACAGAAAGGGAAAAAGAAAAGGGTAAGGAAATGAAATGAGGATATGATTACTAATATCCAATCAGAGAGAATAAAACAAAAACATCAGAGAAATTTATATGCGATGAAAGTATAAGAAAAAAACACGAGTGGGCTCATTGCGATTCGGAACTCGAACTATACTATCGTTGCGCAGTTTTTAGACCCCTACGCCACCGACAATCTTCTTAAGAGGTAAAGATGAACTTTTGCTACTTCAGCAAGTCAAATCGTGGAAGGAGATCCATGGATTGTCTTTTTCCGCCACCCGATGGGATGACGTCCCAGTCAAATGCGTTTTTGAAGAATGATCCATCCCTATCATCGCTTCATCTCCACACATGTATTCATGTGCAAATGATGGCACGCTCCGGCAACAAGGTTCTGTGACGAAATCATTTTTGCCTCCAGAGTCTCCAAAATGTATACATCTTAGTGATCAAACGTCCAATCACTGAGAAAAATGGTTCGCGGAGCGAGCCGAATGTCACTCGCTGGTCCAGGGGGCGCAGCCCCTCGGCTGGCCGTGACGGACGCGCAAAGCGCGTCCAGAACGGCTATATGTATAAAAATTAGTAACAATCTTTGAGAGCTGTAAGCCAAATGAAAATGGGTACTATGTAGGTAATAAAATCAAGGATTTTCTTTTATTGGCTTACAGGTCACAAAGATTTTTATTCATTTGTATCATTAATGTGTATGCTGGACTACTGAATTAAGTCCCTAGATCACAATTCTGTCTCAAATGCAACTAAGTCACCCGTAAAATTCTTAAAGGACGAGGGAACTCATAGAAGCCTTCCATGGACCACGTTGAACATACGTACAATTAAGTACCTTCAAAGCTTTAATCAGTATTCAGGCGTCCTTCGAGTAATGACAGCTGACTCTTGGTTTGCCGTAGGCTAATACAGTTATCATTAAAGTACTACTTCAGACTTGAGGGAAATGAAAAAATGGAAAAAGCAAGGAAAAATTATGCGTTCTTACCGATAGAGAAAATATGAGACTTTGGGAAGAAGGCTCTCTGAGGAAGCCTTTCTTTTATGTTTTTCGTGAAAGTGATTTAATATTTGGACAACTGTTGGCTTGAAAAATCCTGAAAAGCACTATCATAATTACTTAAGCATAATCAAATTTAACAACAATTTTTTCCAGGACCCGACGACAAGCTTTCCAGTGATCAAATTATTGTCAACCGTCGCTGTGATCTCTGTGGGTCCTCTACTCCTTGTGTTTGCTGTGAAAGGTGTAGCAATCAGACCTTTTGCACATCTTGTGATGAAATGTACCATCGGCATCCAAAAAGACAGAACCATGTGCGCAAGGTAAAATATATTTTTCCCGGTGAAGTGGTAGACAAACCTAAAAAATTATACTAATTATAACCTTTGATTGACTCGGGTTAACATTTGTGTCTCAAAAGCTTTCAGTAACTCTAACCTAAGCGGACAGATGGACTTTAGCACTAATGCTGAGTCTACGAGCTTAAGGAAACAAACTCATCGGGATTCTCTGGTTGACATAGACATTTTTAGTTGACAAGGTTAAGCATCCTCTGTAAAATTTTGGTACCTTCTTACTGAGAATAAAACAAATCCAAACTTTCTCTTACCAAAAAGCTCCAAGAAAGTAGGAAGAGGACTTAATCCAAGTCTCAATTTAAGAAATGGCTCCAACTTCCAATGAAAGTATTAACAAGGGCTTAAGTAGTAACAATTCAACCAACAGGCAAAAATAAGACCTTAACTTGGCACGGCACATTGTCTCCATGGAAACCAAGAGAATTTAAAAAACCAAAGAACAAACTAGTCCTTTTGTGACAAAGAAACCTCCGAAAAATTCCCTGCGTGGTTTAACCCCTGCTATCGGCTTGTTGGAACAAATGGTCGACGGAGGACCTACTGGCTCTAAGATGAGCCTGCTCTTCGTCATCTCGCTTTTTTCTAAATTCAAGTACACCTCGCCGGCACTTGCCTGTTCTGATTTTCTCTCCACTTCCTTCGTGTCTCTACAAGTATTTTTACAAAAAGACCTCACCCAAGTAGCAGTGATCGCGATAAATGGCGATTTTATAGGTTGGTTATTGCGGTTAAAGCGGTGGCAATATATCGAGATAATATCGCATTAAAAGTTGCGATATATGGCGATCGACATGAAATCGCCATTTATCGCGATTTTTATTTCGAAAATATCGCGATGAATTGTCGGGCGATAAGAGCGCGATTTTATCGCCAGGCAATTTATCACGATATTTTCGAAATAAAAATTGCGATAAATGGCGATTCAATCTCGATTTTATCGACGAAAATTGATCGCGATTTTATTGAACCAAAAGTTGCGATGTGTAGAGATTTAATCGCCATTTACCGCAACTTTTATGCGATAATATCTTGATATATTGCCACCGACATAATCGCGATAACCAACCGATAAAATTGCTATTTATCGCGATCACTGCTTCTTGGTTTTGAGCATCGTAAAACCGATTTCACGATGCCACTGTTCAGTCAATCAAGCTGCTCCGCTCAATTTGTGTCCTTTTTTATGTACAGTAAAATTGTAGGTATCACATACATAATACATCTATTGCTCTTTTTCATGCATCACACCTATTAATCTCTCAAGTGTTCCACCATTCGATTGGTAATTTGAGAAAATCAAATATTAAAAATAACAACGTGATAAATATACAAAAAATTCAGATGGGCAAGTAGCATGTAAAATTACTTAGTTTAATTTTAAATTTTAGAAGTTTTAGTCTACAAAATGCTTATTTTTATTCGGTACACGGTATCAGCTTTGTACTCAATTTGACCTGGGACTTACAAACTTTTTCTTTTGTGTTCAAGGTAATTCAAACTAAAAGTCAAGTTCTTCCACCTTTACCTCCTAAAGGAGAAACGTTCGTTCCTCCAGTACCTCCACCAAGGCGTCACAAAAGGTCATCTCGAATGGCAACTCCTACACTGGAGGAGCAGGTACTATTTATTTTCTTGATTATCCTCATGTAAACAATAGTTCTAGTCATGATCTCTTAGATTGGGTTCACATCGATGAAAAGAGATAATTCCTCTCTTAATGCCCATATTCTCACTCTAGGGAGAGCTTGTAAATCAGAAGTACTCATTTGGACGTATTTCTGCTAAACAGAACCAGAGACGTGTAGGAAAGAAGGGATTTGCTCGTTAGTCGAGGGCCGTGAGAATGAATGAGAATTATAAAGCATCAGTGACAAAGGCGGCAACAAAGCCGCCATGGCAGTCGGTCGTGCTCATCATTAACTCATGAGCCGTGTCCACAACACTCTTCTCCCATGCCCACGGCTCACGAGTGCTGCATTCAGTTGGTACATAGATCCGTTTGACAGCAATTCCCGCTTTTTCATTTTTCCAAAGGTAATCACGCCCACTTTAACATTGTTTATTTTGCACCTTTCTAGAGCACACATCATTTTTTACACTCGTCTAGGTATAGTTCCGTTTGGCAGAAATACGTCCATTTAGTGTTTCTGCCAAAGCTCTTCTGGAAAATCTTAAACTTCAAATTATGTCTTACGTATCATCTTTTCTCTCTTACTTTTCATCTCGTCGTGAATGGTGTAACAAAATAAAAGTATTACTACGGGACAGCTAGAAATGTTGAAAATCAATTCCAATTAAAAAATTGACGTTTGATCATTAAGAAAAATGGATGATTTTAAAAGTTAGCATTTTGGTTCAAACTCTTTTATTCTTCCTATTTAAAAGATTTTTCCCGTTGATATTTATTGGCAGTAAGTGGAATCAACAGTTCTAATCTCAATACTTTTTCAGCGAAAATGAAGTGAAAGTGTTATAAAAAAAAAATGAAACATGAGTTGAGAAATCACAAAAGTCAGTGATGGATTCGGGCATATAGAATACTAGGGAGCCATGTCCCTTGGCCGCTACGCGGTCCAACCCCCATAGGGCGCTTCGCGCTCTATTTGGCCCGCTTTGACCAAAGGACGATAATAAAAAGGAGATTCTCATACCCGACTCTCATTCGTCCAATCTCCCTCTGGCCGGGAGCGATTGAACCAATAAGAATCGAATAAAAAAATCGGCATTTATTTCAAACTTCTCGCGAAGACTGAAATGAAACGGAACAAAGTGTTTCATCGCTGTTGGATGGCCTGTGCGAAAGGAACATACCTTCTATTTACCTACCCTACTAACAGACCAAGATTCAACATTTCCCGCTTAGTTCAATTTTCCTTTAAATTTGAAATTAGAGCCATTTCTCATTGGCGGGAATTTCAAATTATGCCCCCCTTTCTAAGTTTCCTGGTCTCCTCTAATGAAAAAAAAAACTTTGGTCATATTTTCAAAATCTGAATGAAGCGGGCTCGTCCAGAGACAATTGCCTGTCGATAGCCGCAAAAATCATGAAAATCGGCCCGGTAGAACGCTGCAACTGAGCGTTACCAGATACGCAAATTTAGGAGGTCTCGGAGCTTATAATATAGATTTAAGATTTAATGTCACCATATAACAGTGCAAGCGTATCATCCAGACAAGCCTCTTCTTTATCCTACCGAACAGTTGATAATAAGTTTTCAGCAAAATAATAAGCATTTTGCATGCAATTATAACAACTCGTCCTCATTGATTGTTGGAGTATATGTTTCACCGCACAGTTGGAATTCAATTATTGCAACATGCTCCCAACAGTGTACATCTTTGAAGAAGGCAGTCTAATTAAAGAAATCTGTGTATCATTAGAAAACTGAATGAGGATGTGCCCCAACCATTTGCATAAATGAATTTCTTTACCTTCAACACTTTTAAAGGGATTAAGGGAACTTACTTTTATCATGCCCCGTGCATACAGGGCAAGTTTCGTTTGTCTTTAGCCTCTAAAAAACTAAATTGTAATGAGTTTTTCGATCTTTAATAAATTGATCCAAAGATTTTAACTGTTTCTCGCTTTAACTTTAATTTCCTTTTTCTCCCTCCTTTCAAACTTAGTTCAATCTGCTTCGTCATGAAACAATAAAAAGAAATCATTTTAGCAATGTTTAGAGTTACAGTAGTACTTACGAATATTTTGTTCCAATCGATTTTAATGAGGTTTTGATTTCAGAGTCGGCAGTGTAAAAAGGAGAGTAGCCTCATGGGAAGTCTCAAGCGGTTCATTGGCGGACGGCCTCTTCCTTCTACTCCACAATGTGAGCTTTTTATGAATTTTCATTTTGCATCATTAGTTTTTTTTTCTTGATGATTTAGTAAATACTAAGTTATCACATGTCTAACTTCCAAACTTTTTTCTCTCGGAAGCTATTTTGGATGGAACAAAATTGTAATAGGTATTTTAATCGTACATTCACGCTCAGTTTCTTATTAACTTTCTACGGGTTTTGGGCAGGATGGGATCAGTCCGCCCCTTTTTTACTTTCTCGCTCCCATAGGGTAGAGAGGAAGTATTGTCATCCTCCAAAAAAAAAAAAAAAAAAAAAAAGTTGAAATTTCATCATTTCTAGACGTTTTAAGGTCCCAGGAGTAAAAATAACCATACTTGAAAAAATGTGTGTCCGTCCGTGTGGCGTCCCCCAAATCTGTGTACAGCGATATCTCAGAATCTATCTGTTCGATTTCATTCAAAATTGGCACAGGACACCATATCTATGGTCTCCTTATGCACGTCCAACGATTTTGAGGTACGCTAAAATTTGGGGGGGCTACGCTCAATTGTCCATTTTTAGCAAAATCACACGGAAAGCTCATTTTGAAAGACTGTAAATTTTGAAAAATGTCTTTAATTCTTTAACAATGGGCATCAAGCACATCACCTGGGTCATTAATTTAAGTTCCAAAAAGATCTTTGGACTAAACTCAAAATTCAAGAGATTACGAGGCCCAAAAGTAGGCACTTTGCTCCGCGAAACAGCTCATTTTCAAGGACTGTAAATTTTAAAAAAAATAAAAAAAATAAAAAAAAATTCCTTCAATTCTTCGAAAGTTGGCATAAGAGCACCACCTGGTTCATTAATTTAAGTTCCTACGAGGTCTTTGGACTAAACTAAAAATTGAAGGGTTACGCGTCATATAGCGAGGAGAGCACTTCGGTCACACGGAGAGCTCATGGACTGTAGATTTTGAAAAAATGCCTTTAATTCTTTGAAAGTTGGCTCAAAAGCACCATCTGAGTCATTAATTTAAGTTCCTAAAGGATTCATGGACTAATCTCATAATTGCAGAGGGGCCGATAGGAAACGCTCAATTCTCTGATAAATGAGTCGGAGCGCTTCTAGATAATAGCAGCAAACGCTTTGAGTCAGGTGAAACCTAGGAATTCAAATGCATTATATAATGCATCATATACTATTTCCAAAATTACTCCGTAGGTAATCACAAAGCAAAATTAGACAACTAATTAGATACATACTCACATTACAAAGGTACTATGAATCATCAAGCTAACGCCAAGAACTGACACTTAGATCTTTATTAAAAACTAATATGTTTGTTGTTAATGAATTTAGAATCCCGGCAGATTCCATCTTTTGCGGTTCCTTTTTACGAGGTACTAAGCACAAATATAATGTAATAATTCGGCACAAATATGACTGATTTAATGCTTGTTAATGAAGGAGGTTATAATTGTTGTAACGTGACGTTTGTTGACTTGTCTCTGGTTGACGTTTGTCGATGGCGCTCTCTATTGTTTTCGCTTTGAGTTACGGGGATACGCGGTAAGGAGATGGCGCTCCTGGCGGGCGTGTCGTGAACCTTCCAGCAGGTAGATTCGCCCGCCAAATTTAAAATTTGGGAGATGCTAAGCGAAAACCGTTTAGTTTTAAGACTATTTGAACATCGAATAGTCATTCTACCCATTCAAGTAGATATTTGATGGCTTTTGACCGTGCTTAAGGAGAGATTATAATATAAAATCGTATCTGAAGTATGATGTCAATGAATCTAATGGATCCTAATGAATCGTAGAAAAGCTAAGATTTTTACGGATCGCCATCTTTGACAGGAGACTTAGTTAATCAATTACATATTTAATTGAAGATGCCTCATAAAATCAACAAGTCGAGTCCGAATATATGAATTCACCACATATCGCGAAGACATTTACAATGAAGTTCAATGGTTTGAATACAAATTTCATAACTATTATCCTGTGATCAAAATTCCAATCAAACTTTATGATTTTGTAAAATTGGCAGTATTTTTCTAAATATTCCAGTAAAAGTGTCTATGCCGGCTCGAGCGAGAAAGTCCCGTGCGGTCCCCGCACCAATCCGCTAAGCGGATGGGGGGGCGAAGCCCCCCAAATGCCGGCGCGTAGCGCCGGTACGCGGCGCGAAGCGCCGCGCATAAATTGGCCGGAGGCCAATTTTTTTCATAACTTTCCCCGATTTCCCTAATTGGTGGATTATTTTTAGCACTATTGTATTCCCCCATGATGTCGGGCCCTGACCTCAGATCTTGTGATGAGCATAGATCACGAGTCGCGTAGATCGCACGAAAATATATGCCATTCAAATTCATGACGTTATATTTATATTTACATATGCACAATACGGGAGCTATCCAGTCGAGAGTTACCCCCAAAGTCTAAGCAAACAAGTTTATTACATTTTGAAGGACATACCTAAATACAAACGCAGACGTTTCGATGCTCGGACAGACACCATTATCAGTGCACAAAAAAAACAAGCAGTGAACTCCAACACAATGTGTTGAAAAGGCGCGTCATTAACTCGCACATATAAACCCCTTTAGTCTTCATTTACAGAGGTTTCAAAATAGGCAAGCAGCACAACAAGAGAATTCACGATCCAACACTGCGAGGTCAACGACGCACCTTGACGAGACCGAGTATTGTGAATGTGGAGAGCCATTCGAACGAGTTTAAGTTTTTTGATCTGCCTCAAGCAAAATCTTATAAGATCGAAGAAAAGTGCTACAAAATAATTTAAGCGAAGAAAGGAAACATTCTGTCGAACTCCTGAAAGAGAAAGTCGTTTTAAAGGTATTTTGGGGTCAAAATACCCAAATCGCAGGTATTATAAATCCCGTTATATTATTGAAAAGAAATTGACTCTATATAAATGCAAATGCATCGAATATGTCTTGATTTTGTTATTTTAAACGTATTTCCATGCAAAGAAGTTCAACCATGCCCATGCTTCATTCATTCATGAATTGAAAGTAAGCAATCTACATCCCGAAAATCTACTGATTTGCCGTAAAAAATTGCAGAAACTTGATGTACCAGGTCGATGCACCCACTCGTTGAATTTACCAACCAATTTCGTGAGTGCAAATATGTAAAAATCAATATGCTATAGTCATTTTGGGTGCATTTATTTTTCATGAAACAATAATAATTTCAATTCCGAAAAACCATCCATTTAATTTCCGTATAAAATCGAAATACCGTGGACCGGGGGTGAATAGGAATCGCGGGGTGAATAGGAACGATATTGAAAAATGTTCGTTTTCGGCCCACTGTACGGCGCGTATCTGCGCTATGAAAATTTTGGTGGCGCCAATATGTTCGGGTGGCACTACTGACTGTGATAAGTGATGTCCAACGTTTTTTTTCCACCGACCAATGGATGTAAACATAATCTCGAACAACAAACTGATCACCCGCGATTTTTGAAGGGCTGGGAGTGTGGTCTGTCAGGGGCATAAGAACTTAAGGTAAGTCAAATTTTCAATTACAGGTTGTTCTCTTATATGTTGTGGATGACCTTGCAGGAAATTTTGAATTTTAATCTACGTTTCTGTACTGAGTACTCCAAAACTAAAAATCTCATGCTGAAAATTGATGATTTTGGGGTGAATAGGAATGCCACTCCTATTCACACCCTGCATCATATTAATGTCATAGAAGCTGTTTTTGATGCCTCAATTTGAAATTTCTGAGTAAATTTTGAATAAATTCACTGTTCTTGGCTCTGACATGTATGTTTCTCCTTCTTAGATCAACAAATGCGAGAAAATACGTCCCTGCCCCTTTTGTGGCTGTGTTATTATGCCGTTGGCACTTACTCACCTACTTAGCCAGTGCTTAGGTAACCAAGCCCCTTTTATTATTTTATTCTTCTAGTTTTTAAGTTTTTAAGTTTTGAAAAAACTTACTTTTCTTCTTTTATTTCAATAGTTTATAAGTGTTTTTCATTTCTCATTTTAAACTAGGTAGTCGTAGCCTTAAATTTGACTGATAAGTAGGCTCCTTTATGTCAAAGGCTAGTTCATTTTTTATTAGCATGTCGGTATTTTTTTAACAGATTCTTTTGATACCTTGCATCTTGTTCAAAGATACTCAAAAACTGTGTCAATTAACTTTAAGTCTTGTTCCTATACCTATTTATTTTTCTAATTTATTACATTTGTTCATGAATATGTGATGCATTTGTTTTTTCATTAAAAATTGTTGTTTCGGTCATTTTTTCCAAAATTTTGTTCTCTCGATTTTTTTTAAAACTCCGGCACCATTCCTATTCATCCTGCTGTTAAAAGAATGGGAACAATCATTGAAAACCAACATGCGTTCCTATTTACCTCACCCCGGGGTGTATAGAAATAGACCATAAACATAATAAAAAAGGGGGGGAATTTTTTTGGAAAAGCTACAATCTTCTGGAAATCGGGAGTACTAATAGAGACTACAAATTATATGTAAAAAAAAAAAAATAATATTCGTTACTGCCTTTGAGGGTTCCGAACTGTTAAAGTTCAAATCTGTTCCCATTCACCCCGGTCCAAGGTAATCAAAATGAGTCGACTCCCTGGCGTGAAAATTAGATTCTACGTGTAAAAATACTTACGTATCCATTTTAGCCGCTTTGCCTGCCTCTCCTCGTTATTTACAAACCGTTCCTATATTCATCTCAAAATTTCTCTCAGAGCTTTGTGTTATTATCAGCTTCCATTTAAATCCCGGTTCGATGACCGAATCGGCTGCCCAAAAAGCAAGCCATTTTTGAAAGGTTCTATGAGAAATTCGTGAATTTATCGGCTCTCAGGAAATCACCACATGGCTAAAATTGGTGGTATAAATGTTTGAGTGCTTGAAATAATCGTATTCAAGAAACTAAGGCATTAAACTATGGAGTCAATTTCTTTTTAATAATATTACGGGATTTACTACCCGTGATTTTGCTATTATAGCCCCAGAATACTTTTAAAGCGCCTTTGCTTTCCAGAA